TTATAATTGTTCTGTTTTATTATTATTAATTATTTTGCACTGTAGAAAATTTATAAATTAAACTTCATTATAGATATGTATGTAAGGGGAAAATAGCACTTATAATAAGGTTTAGTATTATCTATCCTCAGTTTCAGGAATCTACTGGGGACCTTGGAACATATTCCCTGCAGATGAAGGGAGACTACTGTGCTTAATAGTCCCACACATGCACCCCCCCCCAAAAAAATGCAGCTTTTAGTTCTGACCTTTGCTCTTCTAGAGCTTAGGGCAGAGACTTCAGCTTACACTCTGAAACCCCAGGTGTTTACCCTACAACCAGATTCCCTAAAACACTGCCTTTGTGACGAAGTCCAGGCTGACTGCTTAAAAGTGATATGCAGACATCACAAGTTGGGCTGAAATTTAGGGTTTGAAATAAATGAGAGCAGTCAGCAATCAAAGATGGGAAGAAAGCTCATCTTCCTTAGAAAGAGCCTCATATGAATAGGCAAGTTTCAAAAGTCTATAACTTTAATCAATTAATAGAATAATGTGGAAGGCAAACCTAGAATGACTGGATCCGAATGTTTTCCTGCTAAAAAGCAGCTCGAGCCAAGTGCAGTGGTGCCCATCTGTAATCCTAGCAACTCTGGAGAGAGAGGCAGGAGGATCACAAGTTCAAGGTCAGCCTGGGCAATTTAGATCCTGTCTCAGAATAAAAAATAAAAAGGGCTGGGGATATTGCTCAGTGGTAGAGCACCCTTGAGTTTGATATCAGTTACAAAAAAAAAAAAAAAAAGCAGTTGGAAACTTAAAACAGGGAAGAAGAGCTTACCCAATGGGACAGAGGGGTCACAGTGGTTAGCTGCAGGGCTCAGAAGTACAGACCCCTTCCTGCAATTGTGGCACATAACCTATACAATTGCCTGATGAGCTGCCACCCCTGCAATTCACCAAAGGGGCATCAGGGACAATATCTTTCCTGCAACCCTAAAGCCATCTTTATGTGACAGGGCTGTGTTAGGCCAATCGCTTAGGGTTCGAGATGAAAGTGACCACTCAAGATCTCCAGTTCAGAGATAAGAACCCTGGTGTCTGCCTCGGGTTTTGATACTGTTCTCCGTTTGTGTTGTGAACAGGAACTCAGAGCAAACTCAACTTCAACTGCCTTTGTTTCTCTTCAAATAGAAAATTAGTTGTTTCTTCTCATCAACTTTTCTACTCTCCCAAAAGCAGATTTATCCAGAGCAAATGGTTGAAATGCATTTCATGTATATGAAACAAGTATTAGAGAAATGCCAATGATGTGGATTCAATAGGTAAGGTATATCCCACTTGCAGGTTATGGCTAGCAAATATGACTCAAATTAATTTTGAGGTGAAATCAATTTTGTAACATATCTTCTATTGAATGCAGCACAGATTATGTATTTACTTTTAAAAATATTTTAGGAAAAAATAACCTTTTACTATCAAATACTTGGAATTAGAAATAGATTTGCATTAAAATAGCAAACAATATTTTTATTAAGAAACAATAAAGTAAGCCAGGCACGTGGTTCACCCTTGTAAAATCAGTGACTCAGGAGGCTAAGGCAGTAGGATTGTGAGTTCAAAGCCAACCTCAGCAACTTAGCATGGCCCTAAGTAGCTCAGCAAGACCCTACTTCTAAATAAAATATTTTAAAAGGCTGGGGATGTGGCTCAGTAGTTAAGCACCCCTGGGTTCAATCCCTGGTACCATTGAAAATAAGTAAATAAATAAAGTAAATGGGGAAAGTATGAAAAGGATAAATCACACACAAAAAAATATTTCCTTTTCTCCTTCCAGATGCTGGGTGTGGGACAGCTCCATTGGAACCTGAGGTGACCTGAGGTTGTCACAGAGATATAAATTATGAGGAAACCAGAACAACCCAGAAGTGGATTCTGAAAGCAGCGGGTCCTGCACTGTGAGGAGGCAGGACTTGTATGAGGTGCCTGAGGGACAGTGGTTGTTGGCCACCGGGATGGGAGTGGGTCCAGCAGACTTCCTGGCTTCTGGTCAGACAGACTGCCTTCCTGAATTACTAGGTCTAGGAAGTGGTGGTGACAGGGCGGGGGAGAGGGTGGGGAAGTTCCACGTGTCTCAGAAACCCCCACACAGCCCTCATACTAGCTGCCACCTCCCTTCCCCTTTCACAGACCAGTTACCTAATCTGCAAAGAGACTTGATGGTATCGGGACCCTAACGGCTCTGAACTCCAGCAGGTCTATAATTCAGATAGGAGAGCGGTTAGGGAAAGACAGGAAAACCTCAGCCCCGACCCGCAGCTCACACGACGACGTGACACACACAGCACATGAGTGCTGGCCGTAGGCACTGAACAGCAGCTGGTCTGTGTGGAGCACTTGGTCTCCACTAGGCAAGGAGTTGTGTCTTTCTGTGCATTGTCACATTTTATGGCCATGGGGGTAGCACCCTTGAGAGGACGAAGCTTAGACAGGCTGAATCATTTGCCGAAGCAATGGCACCTGTGTCTAGCCCGTAACCCCAGGATCCCCATTTCACCACATTGGACACTGGGCTATTTCTGGAGGTTTAAGGCTGGACAAACCTGACTCTTTTTCTTTTTCCCACACACTCCATATACTGGTAGCACTGGGAGCAACACTCCCAACCATGCTTCAGCTCCAAGCAGGATGATGGGTCTCACTGGTGAGTTTAGGAAAGGAGCTTCTACCTGCATGGTCAGCCCTTCCGCTCCACGAGACAAGAGGTGCCTTCTGACCATGGGGGTGGGGGGGCCTGCACCTGTCAATCTGTACTAGGCAAGCAAGGCTCTCTGCTCCAAGGACAAGAATCAGCAAGCCTGCTTGACCACACACCTAACATGTTTTTCTGCAGTTAGCAGTAAAGGTGATACTGCTTCTCAGTTTTGGAAAGAGGAAAATATTGTTATATTTTTTAATCCCATAGATACCCACCAATATGTACACCCAGGGCAGCCTTGAAGGGAGCCATGGCAGAAAGTTTGCTGCCCCCCACTTATACAGGGTCAACTGTGTAAGAATGGAACTTCTTAGAGCCAAAAGAGAACTTGCTCAGTACAACAAAACTAGAACATGAGCCACACGGGTGATTTAAAATCCTCTAGTAGCCAAATTAAAAAGGAAAAAAGAAATAGGTAGCATTAATCATAATAATCCGTTTTATTTAGTCCCATGTCAAAAAGATTATAATTTCGGTATGTACCCAAACATCACCTGTGGTTAGTGGCTACAGTGGTCAAAGCACAGCCTTAGATGCTCACCATCTGTGAGCTGTGCCTGTAGGAACCTGCTCCCCTTGACCATTTCTCCATGCGAAGACTTCCAGGACCATAAAGGTCTCCACTCCATTAACTTGGGGGCATCTCTGTTCTGTAGAAACATAGTTTTAGCACCTTTTTTCACTCCTGGGACTAAAATAGTCGATAAGAACAATTTTAGAGGAGGAAAAGTTTATTTGAGGGCTCATGGTTTCGGAGGTCTCAGTCCATAGACAGCAGGCTCCATTCCTTGGGGCTGCAGGTGAGGCTGAACATCATGGAGGAAGAGTGTGATGGAGGGAAGTGACTCACATGATGATCAGAAAGCAGAGAGAGACTCCACTAGCCAGATAGAAAATATATACCCCAAAGTCATGCCCCCAGTGACTCACCTCCACCAGCCATACCTTAACTGCCTTTGTTACCACTCAGCGAATCCCATCAGGGATTAATGCACAAATAGGGTTAAGGCTCTCATAATCCCCATCATTTCTCCTCTGAGCCATCTTGCATTGTCTCACACATGAGCTTTTGGGGGCCACCTCACATCCAAACCCTAACAGAACATCTCATCCTCCACTGGACTCTAGTCCCCGCCTCAACTTGTTCCTGTCTGCTAAGACTCAATCAAAAGGGAACGCATTCCCCTAGAAAAATCCCCCTCGCTTGCCTTTCCTGGCTGCTGCCTGACTCACTGCCCAACACGGGTATTGTTTGGGGGGGACAAAGCTTTGTTTTTTCCCTCACTCAAGAACACTATATTTAGAACTGTGGAGGACACCTGTTGTTTTTTGACCACGCAGCATCTAAACAATCTATTTTAGAAGAATCCAAAATAAGTGGGAGCACAGCCCGCCTCTTGTCACGTAGGCTGTTCAGGAGGTGGCATTCCTTCGCCACACTCAGCTAATCGCAAGCTCGTGCCTGAAAGCTGGAAGCCATCAGGAGAGCACAAAGACGGGGAGACAGCGGCACTTATATATGGTGGTGGTGGTGGCAGAGGCAAGGGTCCAGTGGGGGGCAGCAAGCCTCCTGGGGTGGTGGCACCATGTGGGCAGACGGGCTCCTGTAGTCTGAGATCAAGAGAATACTGGCCACGCACCCTGATAGGTAAGAGAATACTGGCCACGCACCCTGAAAGAGGCTCTGCGCAAGTCATCTTCCCTCCCTGGGCCTCTGCTGGAGCGAATGGCCTGAGGTGCAAAGCAGTGAGGTTTCAATGCATTCTTTCTGATACTTAAGCAATGTAGCTGAAAGTGAGGTCGAAAAAGGGCCATAACAGCAAACCAACATTTCACCATCTTCAGTGTCCCCAAAGGATCACGGGGTAAGCTTGGTCTCCAGGGTGGTGCCATTCATAGGTGGCAGGGTGTTCGCCCTTATCCTCGAAGAGGACACTGGCACTCCAGCCCCTTCTTCTTCCTCTCTATGAGGGGAGTGGTTTTGTTCCACCAAGTGGCCTCCTCATTATGTGACCAAAGCCACCAGGCCAATCAATCCTGGGTTGAAACCTCTAAAATGTGAGCCCCAAATAAATCTTTCATCTTCATGGAGTTGATTCTCTCAGGTTTTTGTTTTAGTGATGGAAGGTTCGATAACGTATCGTTCTTCCAAACAGTCCTCCAAAAGTAATTCCAGATCCACACTGGGTTCCCAAACTCCAAATGGTGTTCTAAGATTGAGCCCAAGACTAAGATGAAAAGACTGGTGCTGCGATGCCCTACGGTTGCCAGGAACTCCTGTTTCCATGGCTACCTGGAAGCAGAGCCTGAAGCTGTAAGTATGGGAAGTAACAGGAAATAGTACAAGATTCGGAGTCAGGACGATCTGGGTCCTCATCCTAGCCTGGCCTCAATGTGGGGGAACCCTGGGCCAATGGTTTTCCTTTAATGGATCTCAGTTCCCCACCCGGACAGCAAGACACTGTGTGATCGTTAACGTCCTTTCCAGTTCTAGTTTTCTGTGACTCTGAATCCTGCAGGAGCTGTGATGTCTTTGAGATCCTCCTTACTTTTTTGCTGCTTCTCTGATTTCTGTATTATAACATCACAAGTTTACAAATGGATAAGCAAAATGCTGTAAATCTATACCATGGAATGGTGTGCGGACTTAAAAAGGAATGAAGTATTGATACATGCAGCCACATAGATGGACCTTGAAACCACCAGGCCACGAGAAAGAAGCCAGCACCAAAGACCACTTAAGGTATGAATCCATTTATATAGAATGTTCAAAATAGACAAATCTATGGAGATGAAAAGTAGACTGGTGGTAGCTTAGGGCTAAGGAGGAAGTGGGGCATGGCTGTAGTGCCCACAGATTTATTTTAGATTTGATGAAAATAATTTGGAAATTGTAGTAGTGATGACATGGTTCTGTGCATATACCAAGACCTTGAAACGGATGAGCTGTGCGATATTTAAATGGGATCTCTATAAAGCTATTTAAAAAATCAGACAACAAGTTTAAGAGAAATCCAACGTGTTGTCAAACTGTGCTCCTGGCATTGGAGGAAAGCCTTGAAAATGAAATCCACGCCCGATCTGACAATTCTATGTGGTTGGTGTTTAAGTCTCTCCCTTTGTCAATTAACCAAGATTGATACAGAGAGTCCTCAGGAGACGGTGTCTCTTTCCTGTAGTGTGTTTTTTTTTTAGGTGTTAATGGAAATTCTCACCTGAAGAAGAATAACAGAACAGGGCTCTTCATACTCCAATAAACACAGGAATAACTGCGGGGAGGGGCTTGTTAAAATGCAGGGCCTGACCTGAGAGCCAGCATTTCTAACAGCCCCCCCCACGCCCCCACCCCTGCCCTGCCCATATAACTCATCTGAATCTCAATGTGATGTGAGTGAATGTGTGAGAGAATAGAAGTGGTAACAGGGCAAAAAAAATATACCAGATTTCAAAGACAGTACCATAAAATGACATAATAATTTTTATATTGGTTTTATATTATAATAATAATATTTTGGATCTATTGGAGTCCATAAAAGTTAATTTTGAAAGCATGAGTTGATTTATTTAAAAAAAACTAATAGTTCCCTTCCATCCCCAATTATTTCTTCCCCCTCTTCCTTAATAATGGACTTCCAGCTGCCAAGTTGTGGTCACCTGGACCACCTGCTCCAGGACCCCTGGTAGTTAGGTGGAACCTTGTGAGACTCATTGCATGTGATATAGGGAGTTGTGCAGCTGCTGAGAACTTTCTTTGAGAGATAGCGCCTGTGTAATCTCTTCCTCCTCTGTCCTGCTGCCTAAAATGTAGGGATGTGGCCATCTTGATCATGAAATTAAGGCAAGGGATCAACAAAATGGAAATGCCACGATGGCAGAGATCTTTGTTCCCCACCACCCAAGTGCTGTAACCCTGGTATCTAGTTGGTTCTAAATAAATATTTGCTGGCTGACTGAATAAATGAATAAACCTGTGGTAGGGAGAGGATGTCAGCTGTATACACTCCACCTAGATTTTACAAGAAAAAAAAAACAAATTTCCATCTTGTTTATCAACACCTAATCCTAATCAATGCAATATCAAAAAATCCTATTACTGCTTTATGCCTAGAAAGTTCATTTCAATGTTAAATCAAGCCTCAGTGAATATAACTACATTTTAAATATAGTTGATATTCCTTATTATTCTGTGGATTCTTTCACAATCTATTTATGTGTATGTTTCAGTATGTTATTTTTCTAAAGCCAAGATATGCTTCTTACAGCATTTTCTAACTAATAATCCGAAGCACTATAGAAATTCAATCCAACTATGTTTCTCTTAACATTCCTAGAAAATAGGTGAGTTGGCATCAAAAGTAGCATTTTGGGGCTGGGGGTGTAGCTTGGTAGTTGGTGGAGCACTTGTCTGGCATTTTCTAGGCCCTGGGTTTGATACCCAGCACCAGAAAAAGAAAAGAAAAGAAAAGAAAGAAAGAAAGAAAGAAAGAAAGAAAGAAAGAAAGAAAGAAAGAAAGAAAGAAAGAAAGAAAGAAAGAAAGGTTTTTATAAGAGAGAGATGATCTCATTTCCCTTTCTAATTAAGGGAAATTTTCCCACTTCATTCTCTGTCAAACACACCTCAGTGCTTCTAAAGTGAACAGGAATTTTACAACACAGAAGTTAGTAATGACAGATTTTTAAGCCAAAACAGATGTTTTTTTCCATATTTTTAAGAACATTTCCTTGCATTCACCTAAGTTTTCAGCTCAGCTGACCTCTGAGAAGAATTATACCTTTGCTCCCTAAATAAAGAGTTTTTTAGTTTCCACAGGAAAGAAGAAAGGACACTGATTAATTAATTAACTCTGGCATGCAAACAGGTGGGGACAGAAGCTCAGTCAACACCATGCTGAGGCACTGCCTACTGGTGTCCTATCCTCAGGAGAACAGGAGACACTGGCAGGACTCCAGTGACCTGGAGGCAAGACCAGGGCCTGGCTGGGGTTGAAGAGAGGCAAACAGAGAAGACCAGAACAAGCCTGTGTGTATCTCCATCCAACTAGGTATTTATACTTGGGACCTTTTCCTAGACAATGAGAGTCACTTACCCGTCAGCAGGATTTTTCACCGCCAGTTCCTATAGCCTGGAGGACTTATTCTTCATACCAGACTCACAGGACAAGGGCTTTGAAATTGTAGGAGGCCAAGCAGCTGTGGGTCGTGTTGGTTGCACTAGTGGTCATGCATTCACTTGTCAGCTGATGACAGGTTCTACTGGAGGCTCCCAGGGCTGGAAGGACCTCTCCAGCCTTTGACACAGAAGAATTCTGGATAACTTAATCAAATAGCATCCTTCCTTGCCACTGTCATTCCTCCTCTGGACTGTAAGCCTCCTGTTTGTGGGTGGAGGGATGATGCAAGCACAGTACCTGGCTATTTCTGCCAAGGAAGCTTTAAAAAGAAAATATCTTATATCTGAATTCCCTTTTAGTTGGGGGGGGGTAGGGCATGCTTTAAAAAATATCCTATTGGGACTGAGGTTTAAAACTTCATTCCATAGGATACTACTTAAAAACTGCTTTATAATATCTTAAAGAGGTTTCAGTGGGGGGAGCAGGCAACAGAATTAAATATGGAAGAAATAAGAATGTACACGGAGAGGTCCATCTCTGAGGCGCAAATATATGGCAAAGGAGGCTCAGGGAGGAGGCTGGAAAAGACCAGCGGAGAAGACCATGACTAACTGGACATTGACCTATGATAAAGAGGTGCAGGTGCTGATGAGCATAAAAGCAGAATGGGACAGGACTAGATTTGCATCTTAAAACATCACTCCAATGGCACCCTAGGTAAATGGGTGGCATAGGGACCCACTGGAAGCAGCTACTGCAATAGCACAGGTGACATACCCCAACCAGGCGGGGACATGGAGAGGAAGTTACAAGGGGATGGTGGTCACTTTGTTAGCTGCTGGCCTTGAGGTATAGAGAGCAAGCCTGATACAGATGAACTTCAGCCTTCTAGCTTGGGATCTGGGGAGATGGAGAAGGCAGTGGGGTGAAGATGAGGTGGTCATCTCAGACAGAGTGGGTTTGGGATGCTGTCATAGAGTAGATGGGAGGTGTCTGCCAAAAGCTAATGTGTGAGACAACGCACGCAGGAGGGGTGAGAGGTGAAATGATTGGGTTATGAGCGTTTTAACCTAATCAGCGCATTAATCTCCCAACAGGGATTAATTGACTGGTAACTGAAAGTAGGTGGGAAGTGGCTGGAGGAGGTGGGTCATCAGGGTTTGCCCTTGGAGGTTATATTGTACTGTGGTGAGGAGATCTCTCTCTCAGCTCTCTCCTGACCACTTTCCTCCACCACACTCTTCCACCATGATGTTCTGCCTCACCTCTAGGTCTGAGGAATGGAGTCAGCCATTTATGGACTGAAACCATGAGCCCCCAAATAAATTGTCCTCCTTAAAAATTGTTCTTGACAGGTCTTTTGGTCACAGTGGTGAAAAAGCTAACAGATGCCTACAGGAGAGTCACATGGGCACGCTCTGCAAGGTGCCTGGTGGACAGGAGCCTGGGTTTCCAGGCTGAGGAGTATCTTTCCATTTATTCTCACAATATCCTCATTATGTGTCAAAGGCAAGAGAAAGCTGAGGCCCCGTGCCATACATTTGCGCCTCAGAGATGGAACTCTCCATGTACATTCTTATTTCTTCCATATTTAATACTGTTGCCTGCTCCCTCCACTCTAATCTCATCCTCTTTAAGAGATTATAAAGCAGTTTTTAAGTAGTATCCTGACTCTCAGCACAAAGTGGCCTTCAGTAGTAATACCGTTTCCCTCCAGGTAGCATTTACCAACACATATTATGTGCTGTTCATGGACTCTCCATTTGCACCACAACCACCCTCTGAGCTGAGTATCACCTTATATCTCAAAACAGCAAACAGAACCAGACTGAGAAGGAGCCAGTTACCTGCCCATGTTTTCACAGCTGGAAAGGAGCAGAATCAGGTTCCAAACCACCTCTGTATTCTTTCAAGGAGATTACACTCAACACATGACACCTTCCCCAGACGGGGATCCAGATTGAAACTTAATGAGTACTACAGTAGTCTCGTCTGCAAAAGCATTAATTCATTTATTCAGCCATTGAATTAACATGGAACTCCTATTAAGCACAAAATATAAATGTAATTAACCTAAGATGGTATGCTGGGGGTGGGTCAGTGCTTGTGGTTTTATAAAAAAAAAAAAAAGAAGAAGAAGAAGAAGTAAGGGGTTTTGTCTCCATGGAGCTCTAAAGGTACAGTTGACAAATGACAGCCTGGGGGCCAATTCTGGCCCACCATTTGTTTTTGTGAATAAAGTTTTATTGGAACACAACCACGTCCACATTTTCACACATTGTAACTGTTTTTGCATCATCCTGCCAAAGTTGAGCAGTTGCCCACTGAGACCGTTTTCCCACAAAGCTTAAGATATTTACTACCCAGCCCTTTATAGAAGAAGTGCTGAGCCCTGGCCTAGAGTCAGAACCACAGAGGCCACAGGCCACAATCAACTCTGGATTATTAGGTATAAATGAAGATGTGAGAATGCGGAGGAATGACTAGAGCCACTGGCAGGATGTCCCAGGAGGCTTTCAGAATGGGCTTTGACACCAGAACAGTCTATTAGCAGCAGATCCCAGGCCAGGGCTCATCCCCACCCCCCCCCCAGGCTGCCTGCATAATAAAAGACGCCCACATGCCTGGAAAGAAACCATTTGGTTCTCTTTCTAAACCAACAGAAGTCACAGTATAACCTGGGCTTTGCCACTGCTGAGCTAAGCCAAATTACTTACCTGGGCTGTGACACCAGCCATCTCTAACTGGCCTATCCGGTTGCAAGATGCCAAGGTGAGGGGAAATACCCAGAAGGCTTTGTGAAGAAGTTCAAATGCTCTATAATCCTGGGGGTGTCAGTGGCTGATGTAGATACATAAACTGTCTTAAGGATAATCACACCTAGAATGAGCCCTGCATGCAAAATCGCCTTTGTCCCTGGCTGAGCTCACTGTTTTTCAGTCATTCTCTAATGAGATAGCTCTCTTGAAAGGAGTCATCCTTCAAGCTGGGACTGTGTGGCATCCCACCCCACGAGACTGCAGAGTATGTTCCCTGAGGTGGAGGCAGCCTGGGAGGTAGCCTGGGTTTGCACTGGGGGACTGGGCACATTTTATCTGGGCACAATTTAACCATCACAAAGGGGTCTTGCTGGCCCAGCCTGGTAAACACCGTAGTCCCTGTTCCTCACCCTTCCTCCAGGAAGCGCCTCCTTGCTCCAGCCTGGATGATGCTTTTCCGCTCACACCCTTGAACCCACATCCCCAGCCCAAGGGGGAGTTCGTGGCCCTGTCAGTGCAGCCCGCAGCACCTGGCTCGCCTTCCTCTACCCTGGGCCAAACCCTCAGACGCAGGAGAAACCAGAGCTGGCTCAGCTGGCCAGCACACAGGCTTCCTGTCCAAGTGTTTGTGGCTGGGCTTCCTGCTGACGGAAGGGCGGCCTGCAGCTCTGCTCTGACATCCCTGAGAGGTGGCTCCCAGGGCCCCAGCCGCCAAGCACATCCAGCTGGCACCCGGCAGGGTTGCCGTAGAGGCTGCACTCCATGCAGCTGTCAGTTGACATTCACAGGGACGCTGGGGTCAGGCTGCAATAGCTATAAAGGGGATCCCTTCGGGAAGAGAGGAAACTGTGAATCAGAACAGAAACACTGGAGCTCAGGCCTGTCCTGGGCAGGAGGCCAGAACGTGCCTCACATACACCCCACACCCCAGATGGACGGCCCCCCCCCCCGCCATGCTTCACTTAAGCCCACCTTTCTGGCCACCTGCAAATCTCTGCCTGTGTCTCTTCATGAGTCTCCACCAAATACCTCCTCTCTGCCACAGGGGCTCAGGTATCTGATGGCAGCCCATCCCGATTCTCAATCTCGAAGGACTTAACTTCATGGATGAGAATCAGGTCCCCTTTCATAAGTGGAAATTGGAGGATGAGAGTATTTGGTGGGCCTAAGGTTGATTTCCCCACAGTTCAAGGACCATGATATAGGAAATGGGGCTGGATGTCTGGATAGCTCCAGGGGCTCAGAGCAAGCATGATAGGCAGGCAGAAGTCATCCAGGCTGTCTGAGAAGGTAGTGAGCCTCCTATCATTGGAGGTATTCAAGGGAGATTGTCCTCATAGACTTTGAAGTGCTTGTCTGCAAACTCTGTGAGGACCAGACCTGTGCCTGTCTCCATCCACTACCACAGGACTAGAGGAGAAGGAAGGGAGGAAGGGAAGAAAAGAGAAAGGAAGGGAGTTCAACACCTTGACAATCAAACTCCTCCTTTAGGGGACAGTGTAGACAAGTGGGCTCTTGAATCCAGTTGTGTAGCTTACAGGTTACAGATGATAGGGGCCTATGGTAACAACCACAGGACAAGGCTGACCAAGCCTCCTGCAGGATGCATATTTAAAGGTACAGCCCTTATCAAGAACGCTATCTGCAAATTCCTTCATATACCTTCTTCACTTCTGCAGAACCCTGAAAAGTCCCTATTTGAAAGATGCAGAGCCTCCAGCTCAAAGATAAGTAACAAGCCCAAGCTAAGACTTACCCTGGAGACTCCTGATTCTGAGTCCAATATTCCTCAGAATATGCACTTCTGTCTGTCCCACTGACTACAGGTCTTTTGGCTCTTGTTTTGCTCTAACAAAAAAAAAAAAAAAAAAAACTGGTGTTTGGTTAAACACCAGAGGCTCCCCTATCTTCAAAAAAATGTACTGGAAACAGCTCAACCTCCAAACATGATCCTCTCTTCCCCCACCCCACTCTGGGCACAGATAATATTGGGGCATAATAACTCATCAAGTAACCAACAAAGGACTTGAGACTATTTCCACAGGCAAATGGGCTCTCCAAGGGCCAATCCTTTTGGCCACCCATCAGAGGAATGCCAGGCTTTCCCTGAGTGTCACTAGGTGGGGATTAGGCAGGTCCTTTGCTTGTTCCACCTTTGATCTATGCTTCACCCTGCCCTGTCCTCTTCCAATCCCAGGTTCCTACCCCTGCAAGCTACATTTGCCAAAATGCAGTCTCCTGGTGCCAGGAGACTGAGTGGAAGAAGCAGAAACCAAGAAGCTCTCTCCCTTCCCTGGCAACACTTCTGGGGTCCCAACTTCTGCCAGGGAACTTCCCCCAGTGGCCTGGCTCTCATTGAATCCTGGAAACACCACCTCCTCTCTGGCCTTGCGGCCCAGGAATGGTAGCAGCTGCTGTCTCCAGGCTGCCTTCCCCCAGGATGCCCTTCCATCTCTTCCAGAACTTTAGAACCAGTTTTTCTCTATCAAGTTTTCTGGAATGGGTTGTTTTCTGCCTGGATTCCACCCATGTCCCCCCAAGCCAGTGTGAGTGGAGCCTTAGCCCAGAAAAGGCCAAACTGACGGAGGTAAGGGCAGTTCTATCTTGATCACCTAATGGAGGATCCAAGAGGCAGGGCAGGCCAGGGGCACAGAGAAGCTCAGGTCTGTGTTTGCCAGTATGATGAGGCAACCTAGGTCCACTCAGCTCTGCATGGGAACCAGGGGCCTGGAGTCTATCCCAGCTGTCCCTCCGCAGGCCCCTTCCCTCCCTTCTCACGCCTGGCTGCACACGGCCCTCGCCAGCCGTGACATCCTTTGAGGCTGTGACACAGAGTCAGTGTTTCTCATGTACACGGTCCAGACGGTGTGACTCAGCCTCTTGGGGCTCTGAGCAGGCCGAACTTCCAGGTTCATGTCACCTCCATCAAGGCAAAAGAGGAAGGCTCCTTCAGCAAAGGAAGCAGGTGGCTGCCCTCCTACTCCCCAGACCTGGGGCATCTGGGACACAGAGGAGTAAATCTTAGGCTGTCCCCCACTTGTAAGGCACTTCACCCTGGCTGTCAGAGTCAGCCTGAGGCCTTTAACAGTCTTGCCCAGGCAAGGCCCTGAAGGAAGGTTGTGTTCTCTGAAAATGCTGTTCATGAACACAGGGACTCTATGGGGAAAGGAAGAAAGCGGACCTGGGCTCCAGGCTACATGGTACCCCCAGGGGCTCATCACTGAGCTAAGCTGTCACATGCTTTATGTCCTTTCATCAATCAACAGTGGGGAGGAGACCCCGCCCCCCAAATGCAAAGGGCCCCATTCAGCACACCTATATTAGGTACTAGGGATTCTGCAGAGATGAGTTAATTATGATCCCTGCCTTCCAGGAAAGCCAAGAACTTGAAGTCCAGAATCAGCCAGACCTGCCTGGACCAGAATCCAACAACTAGTATGTAGCTGACCTTGGATACATAACTCTTAACTCCTGAGCTCAGTTTTCTCATCTATGAAATGGACATGGTAATTATCTCATCTCATTGAGTTGTTGGAGAATTCACGTAGGTAACCAGCATGGCACAATGCCCAGCACTTCAATATGTGTTGACTTTTCAAAAAAAGTAATAAATCCAGGATTCACGCATGCTTTATGGCGGCTACCAGGGGTGGGAAGGGAGGAAGGCTGCTTCTGTTACCGTGAGTACATCACAAGTCTTGTGACCCCAGAATAGGATAAAATGCGCTCTTTCTTTCCCGTTTTGGAAGTCTCCTGCAACCTGACCTCTGAGGCATCCCACACGCCCTCAGTCCCCGTGACAGCCCCTGTGGCCACCCCTCAGAGTCTCCGGATGTGCCTCTGAGGTCCAAGGTTTGGAGAGTTTCCGGGACTGGCCGGGTCACCCTGCCGCTCAGCAGTGTCTGGCAGCCCCACCCTTCCTGGCAGCCAAGCCGCCTCCTCGGCCCTCTGAAAGTCTGCCAGCGCCGAGGAGGGAGTGCTGGGCAGAGGGAGCAGCGAGGTCCTGCTCGGGTGGGGGAGGGCGGGCCGAAGGGTGGGGGCACGGAAAGGCCCATTGCCCCTCCCGCTCCCCAGTGCCACGCGGGCTCTGTCTCTGAAAGTACCGACTGCTCCCCCTAGCGGGGAAAGCATGCTGCGCCATGCCCTTAGGTTGCCCTCTCTCCGGGGCCTGGACAGATGTGGCGCCTTCCCCAGACCTACAGCACGTCGCCTTTTTTCAACTGTTTTTCAGGCCCTTTGGATTCCAATTCCCACAACAATTTGGTGATTTTTTTAAATGGGACACGTTTTGGTTCCCATTTCACAGATGAGCACATTGAGTCAGCCTCAGGCCATTTGTCTGCTGCAGAGCTGGGACTGGAAACCAGATGTTTTCCTTCTGTTTCACATAAGCATTATTGAGTGCATCATATTCAAAACTGGCAGGAAAAAATAAAAAAGTGACCACCTTCTCACTCACTGCCCACGCTTTTTCACCCCCGCCCTGCACCACTAACATGTCACCATCTTAGGAGTAAGACTGGTTCTCCTCTCTGCCCTCCACCACCAGAACCTAAGTGCCCCGCAGGATAGCCTGATGAAAAGAGTGACTGACAGAGAGATCAGCCTCCTTTCTCTTACTCCTCACCTCTCAGTTCAGCCTTCCCTTCCAACAGCAGGCCTGACCCCACAGTCTCCAGGAGAAGGCTGCCTTTTGCTCATTGTGGTGGGGCCCAAGGTTCAGAAGGCCTCCCTCTGGAGCCACCTTCGCCCCACATACACACGCGTGCACACACACACACACACACACACACACACACACACACACACACTGCCCAGGGCAGTTCAAACGCTGGGGTGGGGGGGGGCAGAGGGAGCGGCTCCAGCCCTGTCAATGAAAGCCGCAGCAGCCTGCAGGCTGTTCCCTGGAGAGTGGGCCCAGGCCCCTCCTGTCACCCCTGCCCTGGCAGAGACAGATTGGAGAGAGGCCATTTTGAGCTACTCACTTATCAAGGCGGGGAGGTGACCCTTGCCCTGTCTTCTTCCCTGAAAACAAAGTCCTTCCTTTGAGCTCTCCAGAGATTGGCCTCCAGTACTGAATGCAACCACATGCGCCCCTGGGGGATCCTGGGTGGGGGACATCCCCTGGAGGCCTGGCCTGGGGACCCTGGCTTGGAGGCTTTCCCAGACCTTTGGAGGCCAGAGGAGGAAGCAGGCCTGCCGCCTGCCACCCACAGCCCGGATCCTGTCATGGGACAGAGCTGGGCCCGAGCTCAAGGACAGAACAGGCAGACAGAGAGCTGTGTTTCCTGGGAAGGCAGCCAGTCCTTGTGCCCTCAGGCTTCCGGGCACTGAGGAGAGCAGCAGGACAGGCACCCGCTGTCATCAGCCTCCCCCAGGCCCTGGCTGGGTGGGCACACCCTGTCTCTGCTCTCCGTGACAGAGAACTACAGCAGGAGGGGACCAAAAACACTCAGCTTCTTCCTCTGCCCACTCCCTCATGAACCAGACAGTGCTACGTGAGGGGGGCACAGGGCATGACCCCAGACCTCGGGGCCATCCACCATGTGCCCAAGAGTACACAGAGTACAAGTCTCAGGTTTTGTATTTGAAGTGTGTCCCATCTCCCCTGCTCGGCCGAGCTGTCTGAGGGCTTGGGACAGGCATATGACTTGGCCTCAAAAACACTGAACTCTAGTTCCTGGGTAGTGTTGCCACCTACCTGTGGGCTCATGGTATGCCATCCCTCCCCCTTAGTCTCAGTGTCTTCAGCTATCCCCTGGAACATGACCCACGCTGTGTCCGCCTTCCTGCTGGCCCCAATTCTCAAAGTCTGAGAGGTACACAAACAGGATACTGCTGTGAGGGCTGCTTCTTCTTACTAAAGAGTCTTAGAGAGTCTTGTCGATCTGGTTTAACACTTCACTTTTCCATTTTAGGGGGAAACAAAGGTAGACATGAAGATTGGGGAGGGGGGGAGCTGCTGTTGGCAGTGGGCTCTCAAAGCACTCACACAGAGGCCCCCCAGGAGGGCTCATTCCAGCCTCCTGTGGTTGCCAGAGCAGGTATTGCCCACCTCTAGACAGAGGGGTGGTGCCCAAGTATCAGGAAGTAAAGGAGACTTGGGAAGAATGGAGGAGGGGGTAGAAACCCGGTCCCAGGAAAAGCAGTCAAGGAACACAGGCCGCTCAACCCAGCAGTCACTGAGAGGGGCCTGGGTTGTGTCTGACCCCAGAGGGCATGACAAAGGTCCTAGAGTGACCATCTGTAGATGACAGGTTCTGATTGCTTCAAGAAAGAACTCTCAGCCAGGCCCAATGGCACACGACTATAATCCCAGCCCTCAGGAGGCTGAGGCTGGAGGATCGCAAGTTCAAAATCAGCCTCAGCAACTTAGAGAGGCCCTAAGCAACTTAGCAAGCCTCTGTCTCAAAATTGAAAGTATAAAAAGGGGCTGGGGATGTGGCTCAGTGGTTAAGCACCCCTGGGTTCAATCCCTGGTACCAAAAAAAAAAAAAAAAAACTTTCTAGAAGCTGAGCTTTCCAGCAGAGACTAGACTGCTTTCATGGCTCCACAGTCCTGGTCACCAGGCGTGTTTGTCTGGACCGACTTGCATGGAGGTGGGGAGGGGATTTTATAAAGGGGATAGTGAGTCAAGGGCATTAGAGGATCCTCCCCGTGTCCTGGGACTGCAGGCTTCTCCATTCGCCATAGGACGCGAGGCCATTCCTGGTATTAATTAGCAAGCGCTGCCTAGACGGTTATTCAGAACATGAGCCTTGGCCCAGCACACTGCTGCACCGCCCGAAGGCTACACATCTTGTACATATTACCCCCACGGAGGAGGGGCCGGTTGTCTATCAGGACAGGCAATTTAATGGGTTATAAATGGTTCTGTTCCCACGTAACCTTCTGTTCCGCACAAAAAGTGTCTCTCTCTCTCCCCTCACTGTGGAAATGGAGGCCACTTAGGTGCCTCACACTTATTGCCACAAAGCATGTGGCCTCCCCAGTGCCAGGAAAAACAAGTCTGCGCATGCAAAGAACCCACCCTGAAACGTGGCGGGCCAACTCTTCAGGGCTGGGTGGTCCCCTAGTTGCCACACACGAGTTTGGTGCATGGCATTCACCTGCCAAAATCCACACTCGGGTCACCCTGAGTCAGGGGAGTGGGGGAAGGTGCTGGGTCTAGGCCCATTTCTAAGGAGGCGGCTGGTGAGTCCTGCGGCTGGGACCCCGTGGTTGCTCTCGTGGAGTTTCCTATCAGTTCAACCACCCTATCAGCCTGGAACCAGGCCAGCAGACAGCCAGCTGCAGACCAGCTGTTGGTGTGAGGAAAACCAGCAACCTACAGTCATGACGGCTGAAAAGCAGTCTTCACTTAGAGGAGACCCCGTGCAGGCCCCAGGAAGGTGCAGCCCTGCATGGAAGCACACGGGGTTCCTTTTGGCAAATGAATATTGAGGCACAGGTTCTGTTTTATCTTGTTTTCAGGCGGGCTGCAAGGGCTGGGCATGAAAATGGCAAAACTTTTCCGGGTCCGAGGGTGGTCAGGCATCACCCTACAGGGAAGCAGAGAATCAGAGAGGAACTAGAGTCCCAGAGGGGGCCAGCATCTTACAGAGGCCAGTCTCACAGTAAGGCAGTGGTAGACCCAGGTCCACAGCTGCCTCTCCTCTAAGCTGCAGGTCTCTTCCTACCAAACCCTGCTCCAAGGAATTGCAGGTTTAAGGAGGTGGACACAAATAATCTGGCACCTGTTGCCTCTGGGAAACACCTCATGTGGCCTTCGCCCTCCCTTGCTCTCCCAATGACATGGGACTCAGCAAATTTGCTCCTTGGGGCAGGAAAAGGCAAGATTGCACACGTTGTCCCTCCACCTGTCCCGCCACCTGGCTCTTCTCATCTTTTCAACCAGCTCCAGGGAGTCATCCTGGCCCCAGCTCCGAGACATCTCCTCCAGGAGGCCCTCCCTGCTGGTGAACTCATGACTCAGCCACTGCTTTGGGTCACTTCTCTGCAGAGCACTATGGGATGCGCTACTGTTGGTTTCATATGTGTGTTTCATCTGTCTCCTTCCACTAAGACATAAGTGCCAGGAAAGCAGACTCTGGTGAGGACTAAAAAATATGACAGAATGACCCAAAATGCCATTTGCATTTTTAATTGCAAACAGCCCAGAGTTGGTGAGCATGCTGAATATTTCTGGAGATATCGTTAAACCTAACATTTACATGAGGTTCTCCTTTTCAGATAACTCCTTCTGCTCCTACTGGCAAAGCTGACGGGGAAAGGAGGACAAAGTATTCTCCAGGTCCCTGAAAGGGTAAATAGGATTTCCTGAGCTTTGTTTTCCTTCTCACTTGCAGAAGGGGAGCTAGGGAGATGGGTGACAGCCTGGATTCCCCCTACCCGCCCCTCCCATAATTGCTTCCTGCCCCTCTTCCTCTCTCACCCTGAGTGTCTGTCATTCTCTGCTTGTGACAAACTGCTTTTCACCTTTGAAAGCTGAGAATGATGGCATCTCAAGCAGCTAGGAAGTTCTTTTTGCAGGGGGATGTTTAGGGGCAGAAAACTATTGATCACTCTCTTCAGAACTAGCTAGCAGCACTGAAATTCAGTGCATTGAGCATTTATGGACAATTTGTGGGCCGAGTCCTGTGCCAGATGTCCTGGCAATGTGGGGGATGGGTCCTATCTTTCAGGGGCTCTTAGGCCATTTTGACTCAAGAGATATTTGATGAAGACTTATTAAGTGCTAAATACTGGGAGACTTACGATGAATGAAGACTAGACCTGACCATAAGCAGTGGTCATGTGGAGAAGGATAAATTACCAACAATCTCAATCTTCTGTCCTATGTCCCATGAAAGAAGAAGAGCAGGTGAGAGGGAAGCGTAGCAAGGATGCTATATGTGCAGACGTGGAGGCTCAGCTTTAAGGGAGAGGGAGGGAGTGGCCCCGGCCACATGCCTGGTGAGTAGGGGCATAGTCTGATGGAATGTTCTCCTGGCAGAGGGACAGTGGGTGCACAGGTAGGCATGAGCTGGCTGGTCGACAGTCTGCAGGGAGGCTGAGGAGGCAGGAGAGGAAGGGGAAGTCAGGAGAGACGGGGTATAGAAGCAGGCTGGGAAAGCAAGGTGGACAGAAATGAGGCAGAGTGTTGGCAGAATGGAGATCAGCCTGTTGCAGCAAGTACCAGGGAATGTGTAAGGGACAATGACAGATGAGGACAGATAGCCAAAGAGTTCTGACCTGATCCTGTGAGCCCTGGAGAATCCAGGGAAACTGGGACTGAAGCTGGGAACGTGGCAGAGATAGTTGATTGGTTCTGACAGGACGGCAGGGGAGGCGCAGTTGGAGAAACCAAAATGATAACAACAAGCTCTTTCCATTCCTCCCTCCCTGCCACAGGAAGCCCCCATTTCAAATCCCCTCTCCAGGCCAGGTGTGGTGGCGCATGCCTGTAATCCCAGCGGCTTGGGAGACTGAGATAGGAGGATGACAAGTTCAAAGCCAGCCTCAGCAACCTAGCAAGATCCTGTCTCAAAAAAATTTAAAAAGGGGTTGGAGATGTGGCTCAGTGGTTAAGTGCCTCTGGATTCAATCCCTGGCACCCCCAACCCTTAAAAAATATTCCCCTCTCCAACCCATGCCCAGATCCTGTCCTCCAGCCCCTAGCTTCACAGCTCCCCTGGAGATAGATGCTGCCAGAAGAAAAGGCTACCGTGCTCAGCTGTGAGAGGGGAGGGAGGGTGAGGTGTCTCCACCACTGCCTCTGCCTGAGCACAGCCCAGGATGAACCCTCATCCTTTACTCCAAATCCCAGCATCTGATTAACTAGAGTAAAGAGATCTTCCATGAGAAATGTCCACCTTGACTCACTTCAGAAAGCCAAGGAGGGAGGGCACCCAAGGTCACTGGGAGGCACAGCTGATCATGAAATAATTTTTCCCTTTAAGAAAACTCACCCCTGCCCCCACTTCAGTCAGCTGACTGACACACCTTTCGTCCATGGGTACACTAGAGGGGCCTGGCCTGGCTTGGCAGGGTGACCAGCCTGAGAGAAGGAGCACAGGGTAAAGGAGCCAGGCCAGACTCTGCCTCTGGGTGAATCCTCTCCCTCTCTGGGCCTTGGTTTTCCATTCTGTAAAATAGGAGGGTCCACTCTAAGGCACCTATTGTCACTGACCTTTCCCAGCCACTTGCCTTCCACCCCTGCTCTGCAGCCTGGCCTCTCCACCAACCCCATCTGCCTCTGTCTTCACAGGGAACAGGGTCAGTGCACCCACCAGCCATGTGCTCATCACCCCTTCCCTCAGCCTCCCCATCCTCAGTGCCTCCCGCTGGCCCAGGTAAGGTTTCGGTGACTGCCAGTAGCTGTCAACGTTGGCTGCCTGGCAAGAGTTTTCGCCAACTCCACCCCCTCCTCCCTTTCTCTCTGGGCCTTGGACCGCTTTCAGGACTTCCTGACTGGGCTGCATGCCTACTGCCAAGGTCCCCATACACCCTCTGCAACCTGAAGAAGGCACCAAAGGCCCGAGCCAGCCGCTCAGCGCCCCCTCCACCATCCACAGGCAGCCAGGAGCACAGCCTGGGCCTCGATGGGTCCCTGGAGAGCAGACAGAGGGGCAAGAGGCTGCTTCAAAAGGCTTTGCTTTTGTTTCTAGGGACATCTGGGGACAACCTGGGCTGGGAAACAGGTGAGAAAGGCAGGAAAGGAGGGATGGGAAAGAAGATAGCTGGGCAGAGAAAGATGGAGGACTAAAGCCAGCAAATACCCACCGCCTCTGCAGTAGGCGGGAAAGCAAGAGGGGGTGGCACCAACCCCCAGGTCCTCCCCAACAGAGCCCCAGCCTCCTCCTGCTCCCACTCCCAGCCCTACGTGGGGGGTGGGGGTCACCGTGGTCTCTAGCTGAGTCTCCAAATGGAACGCCCAGCTGGGGCTTGCTTTCTCTCCTCCTCCTCTCCCCAGAGGGAAGAGCAGGAGAAGCAGCCCAGCCCCGGGAAGCCAGGCCCTGGGGCTTCCTTGCCCCCTGACCCCACAGGGATGGAAGGAGCCTGTCTAACACACAGTGGGGTCTGGAGGGCGCAGGGCGGTTGGCCCCTGGAGGAGGCCTTGGCTCCAGGCCCAGCAGTGCTGGCAGCCGCTCTTCTTGGCTCCGACAGACTCCCTTGGAAACAAACCTCTGCTACTCACTTCTTTCCTCCAGTTGGCTGACAAGGAGTCAGAGTGTTGGCTCGAATTCTTTCCCCCCACCCCTTCCTTTTAACCTCTCCCTCTCCATTTTATTTTTTCTGGAAAAAAAAAAAAAGTTTTGGTGAATTCTGGTGCAAGGCTCCTTTATTCCTTACAGATTATTTTAGTCCATGGTGATGGTTGGTGTTGGCACGCCCTCAGCTCTAGGTGAAAGGCTGACACACACCCTCACACAGACTCACATTGTATACAAGGCAGGTGTGATCCCCCCCAAAATCCCAGGAGCACTCTGGCTCAGAGAAGGAAAGAACCTGACCTGGGCCACACAGCAAGTCAGATAAGGACCCAAGTACTAGGTTCTGCCAAAGAAGCCAGAAGGTTTCTGGGAGGCCCCAGCAGCACACAGGGCAGGAGGCCCACCTCCTGCAGCCGGGTTTCCCTCTGACCTTTGCAATCTCACAGGCTCTCTGTGCAGCTGACGTCATAATCAGAGCTAAGGAAACTGCCATGCCTCCCTTGGTCCCCAGAGGGACCAAAACTTACCCCTGCCCCACAAGAGGGAAAGGTAGTGCCTGGACTCAGGCACTCCACAAGCTGTTTAAAAATGGCAGCAACCTTCCCAGTAGATGTTACCCCCTTTCATACGACAAAGAAAGTGAGCCCAGGAAGTCATTGCCTAGGCAACATGGAAAGAAACAGAGTCAGGATTCAAACTCAGGTCTTTTTGACTCCAAAGCCCATGCTGCCTCTCCTGCCCTGGCTGCCACCTGCTGAGACCTGCTGAGATAACATCCTTCACCCCGCCCCTGTGCAGACCTTCCCTTGTGGAGGGAGAAGTCACGGTCCTCAGAGGCACAGGGCAAACTTCTTCTTCAACTCTCCTCCTCTTTGACAGTCCAGGAGCCCATTCCCACCATGAGTGGACGCATTGCCTGAGCTCCAGGGTCTTTCAGAGGCTCAGCCATGCTTGGCATCTAACGTTCCTGGAATAAATAGGAATAGCCCATTCTATGCAACCCTAAAAAATCCCTCATGAGTCTCTTCTCCAAGCTTCACATGGGGCTAGGTGCCAAGGCAAACTTAAACTGTCCATGGTCCTGGCCTTGTGGGGCTTCTCACAGGAAATAACGGACATCAGAGTGACATATTCTGGCCTCCTGTAGCTTGAGGTAACAATGGGTCATGGAAAGATGGAGAGGTTACAGTCACATCAGCCCCTCATAGGCAGGCACAGGGGACCCTGATCCTCAAGGGAATCCTCTTTAAAGCACAGTTGACAATGGATTTCCTCTAAGCCCCCGTCTACACTGGGCCATGAGCTTCAATACTGAGGACCATTATGAGGCTGGAATAGGAAATACACAGCCTCTTCTTCTTTGAGACCCAGGAGGAGGTGACAGGCTTGAGGAACCCTCGTGCTGAGGCAGAAGGATCCTCTGAGTAACATCAATTTCTCACTCATTCAGTAAGTGCCTAATATGTGTCATTCACCATGGAAGAGCTGGGGCAGGCTTAGTAAGTCAAAGTCTCAGGCTCTGGGGGGCTTCTAGGTCACTTGGGCAGGCAGACTGTCTCTGGTGTAAAATGAAGTTAAGAGGCAAGAAAAAGACAGACTCGTGCTATAGGAGCTGGTGGAGCAGCCACTTCCCCTTAGGGACCCCAGGGAAAGTCACATGGAGGTGACACTGAGAAGCGGCTTGGAGGATGGGAAAATTCTGACCAAGCGAGGCAGCAGGAGAAGGGCAGAGAAGATGTGGTCCAAACCCCGACCCTGCCATGCTCCATCTGGCAAACTTGCTGAGTTCCTCTGGAGTTATTTCCTCCTCTTTGGAATGGGGAAAAATAATTCTCTGATTCTGAGAAATACCTTCTTGAACAGTTCTCTCACACCCACCTCTAAGATACACTTCCTGTCTCCTCAGCCACTCCTCCCCCAGACGCATCCTTTTGAAAACTAAAGAATCACAAAAGGGAAATGAAACAGAACGTAAGTGCTGGGACTGTCGATCAGGGCATCTGACATTTTACCAATAGGGAAACTGAGGCCCAGAGACGCAACTTGACTTGTCCAGTGTCACCCAGCCAGTGAATGGCAGAGCCAGGACTAGAAGTTTATTTCTAATCACAGCCTTGCCCTCACATCTGCCATAATCATATCTTAATGTCCTCTTTGGGGGGAAGCGACCTTTGCCCTCCTGCCCCCATCCTGAAACTCCAGGACCCATCAGGCCCTGGGTCTCCCCTCTCCTTCATGGCAGCTTCCAGCATCCCCCCTGCTCTGCCACCGTGTGTCTGAGTCAGGATCCGTGGACCCAGCCCCCCACTGTGGATGTTAGCACTGAGCTGATAGAACAGTGCCAGTCCCTGGACCAAAGGCTCCAGAACCTCGTCTTGACCTTGTCTCATTCATGGTCATGATGCTGAGATGAAGCAGAGGAACAAAACTCAGCACCTGTCCCCAAGGCAGTATCCCTCCTTCAGGGCCTGCATGGAGCCTCAGACAGATGAGGCCTGCCAAGAGCAACTGGACTCAGGGCAACTGACCAGCAGGCGAGGACACTGTGTCGGTGATGGGAAACACCAGGGGTAGGTCAATGTGAGCTGCAAACAATAATCAATCTCTTCTTGACAGACACCTCAAAAGACCCAAAATGTCAGCTTGGAAGCCGTCACACCTGTGACTGCAGGCAACATCCATGATGCTCAGGGTGGTATTTCCAGGCTGAAGCTGAGGCTGAGGCTGGCTGTCACATCGGGACAGCTGTGGGGGCTGGGGCTCACGCCTGTGCCTGTGTGTCAAACTTATCACCCACTCTGCAGGCCTTGTTTAGATTCTGATTACATCTCCCACTGTGCATCCGCCCTGGAATCTCTACTGTTGGGCTGTTTCTCCAGGGGGCAAGCAGTTTGGGAAGTGCCTTGGGGAGAATCCAGGCATCCTGGACCAAAAGCAAAGCTACAAAACCAGGAGCTGGCTGCTGCTCAACTACCAGCCCCAGCCGCACTGGGAGGGAGGGCACTCACTAGGGTGTGAAAGTAAACAGGCTCTGCAGACGTTACAGCCCACAGCACTTCCTAAGACCTCTCCAGCCCACCCCACCCCCTCTTAAATTGACTGATGTTTCTGTGTGGTTGGATTTCATAGGACTTGGGTCTGGAGCCTTTCTTTGTTCTTTCCTTGCAGAGAAATGGACCAAGCCACAAACAGTAGGGGTCAAGCCACTAATGGGAGAGAGGAGGTCAAGTTCAGGGTGGGACCTAGTTGGTACTGAGAGACCCTCCCACACACCACACACACACACACTGCAGCAAATATCACAGAACCTTAAAGCTGAAAAGTCCTCCCCAGACCATCGTCTCAGAACCTTCATCCTATAGCTGGGACCACAAAGGCTGGGTTGGGAACCTGTCCAGGATCCCAAAAAGGGAGGGACATTGTCAGGCAGGTCAGGAATGGTTTCTTCTACCTTGGGGGAAGCAGTGAATCAGAAGCCCTGGGGATTGGCCCCCACAAGTAGAGTGGGAGGGTGCAGGAAGAGGAGCTATGGGAGGCTGGACCTCAAAGTCCTCGCATGGTCAGGATGTAGAACCCCCCCTAGCGTGATCCCTCCCTCCGATACAGCACACAGGAGAACAATTCTTAGAGGTCAACAGTAAATTTCGAGCCCTCATTTTAACCCGTAATTGTTAGTTCCTCCCTCTGTTTCAGACAGGAAGCTGAAAGGACCCACGAAAAAGAGATGCTGGCATTCTCCAACCTCCCTCCCGTTGCTACAAGTAACAAGTGACAATGGGAAGAGGAAAAGGCCTAGAGAAGACTGAGGTAGAATAAAGGCCTGGTCCAGCTGAGGGCTTCACTCAGGAACCCAGGCTGCTTTTGTCAGTCTCAAAAGCTACTAAAAACCAAGCCAACCAAGAAGTTTTTAGGAGCTCTAAATTATAAATAATGGGAGACAGCAGAGGCATTGTTTCCAAATTTTAATGAGTACTAGCATTCTCTGGAAAGCTTGTTAAAAATGCAGATTCCCAAGCCCTTCTCAGATTCAGGGCTGGGTGAGGGCCTGGTCACTGCATTCTGAGAAGCCCAGCCCACACTGTGGACACGGTGGAATAGTACTCAATATGACATCCCAGGACAGGCACTGAGGACATAAAGTTGTCATGAACAATGACATAGGAGGGCCCTCATCAGCACCAAGGCTGTGCAGCCTCCAGGTCTGGAGGCAGCAGAGGCACCTCCTCTGCAGGACGAGGAGCAAGAAGAGGCTGGGGAACAGCAAGACTCCAGTCCCAGCAGGCAGCTGTATTCCAACCAGTGAACCGGGGCTGGGTGGGAGAGGGGCTGGGCAGAGCCAAGGGGTCACAGAACTGGGGCAGCTGGGCAAAGGGGTGACTGAGAGAACTGGAGGGGGTCTGGGAGACTGCCAGACACTGTGGGCCCTGAGTTCCCAACTGCACACAGAGGGCCCTGGGGCACCGCAGATGCTAGATGAGGGAAGAAGGAACAGGAGGTGGGCTGCACCATCACAGCTGTGCAGAGAACACTAAGAAAGAGAACTGGGAGAGGTGTCAGTAGCTGCGATTCACCATCATCAGGTTCCTTTCTTTCCATAAACTTTGCTTAAGTTCATAATAAAAAAAAAATTTAAAAAAAAGCAAACACAGGCGAATTACACTTACTTCATATAGTCATTTCTGGGTGGTAAGTTCAGTATGAAATTTGAAATTCTTACACATGGGTTGAACTCCTCATGTGAGCCAAAACACAAAACCTGGGAAGCGGGGCGGGTGGGGTGTCCTACTCTCCAGCAGCCCCTATGTGACCACTGTCTCTAGCTGCCCTGGATCATCGCTGATCCCCCCCGCCATGTCCATTCTGCTCTGGATGTAAAGACCTGAGCTTGCAGGCAGGCAGAGGCTGACCAAATTCAATACTTCTGGCTTATTTGAGGAACATGGAAGTGACTGAAAATGTGATGTAGCAGAAAGAACATAGAAAAGCAGTCAAGGTCTCCGAGTAAATTTCAAGAACTGACTTGTTCTTTGTGAAGTGGGGGAAGTGACTTCCCCCAACAGGGTCTCAGTTCTCCCAACTGCATCCTAAGGGGGTGCATTAGTTATCTACTGCTATATAACAAATCATCCCCAAATGCAGCATCTTAAAACAAAACAAAACAAAACAAAAAAAACCTTTTGCTATCTCATTGTGGTTTTATGGGGTTAGGAATCTGGGAGCAGCTGGGCCCAGTGACTGTGGCCTGGGGTCTCTCGTGAGGTTGCTGTCAAGAGTACTGTCATCCCAAGGTGAAACAGGGGCTAGAGTCTGCTTTCAGGATCACTCAGTGGCTGTCGCAATGCAGGCTGGAGGCTGTCAGCAGGCTGGGAAGATCCATTTCCAACCTCACTTGTGTGGTGCCTGGCAGGCCTATGCTCTCCACGTGGGCCTCTCCACACGGCCTCACAGCAAGGCAGCTGGCTTTCCCCAGATGCAAGAAGGTCAGAGACAGAGAGAGATGGAGAACCCATGGCTGAAACTACTGTCTTTCAATAACCCCATCTTGGAAGAGAGATTCCCACCCCTTCGGACATGTTCTATTCTCTGGTAGACAGTCGCTAAGCCCAGTCCACACTCAAAAAGAGGAGTAACTAAGTTCTGCTTCCAGAATCAAAGGCTGTGAGAACACGGCTTCAGAGGCACCACAAGGGAGTCAGAGCCAATCATCAGTAAAGATTCCTCTCTGGGACTGTGGCTCCCCACACTTTGGAACAATGGGCCTGGTAGATAGGAAATGTCTGAAGAACTTTCTCCAGGTTAGCTGGGTTCCCTCCTCAGCAATGAGGACCTGGAGAATGAGAGATGGAGTTGGGAAGTTGTGTTTTTCAGAGGATTGCACCAATCAGGAGGCTGCCATTCTCTTCAAGGAGGCCAGGGCCTGAGGTAGCAGTGGAAATAAGCCCCTGGATGTGCACCCTCCTGCTGAAGCAAAGAGCCATGTTCAAACACTTCAATGGTTGTGGGGCCCAGCAGGTGAGTGTCCCTCTCCAGCAGGACTTGATGCCTGGAATGTTCCCAGCTCCCCTCATTCCTCCAAAGGAACAGAGAGGACCACGCAAGGGTGTCAAAGATGAACCCAGAAGGACAGAGTCAGTCCTCATCTGCTGACCAAGAAAAATAGGGAACAGAGGACCATTTAGAATAAGCTCCCTGAAGAGGTCTGGTAGTGTGAGGTTAATATCTGAGGCTTGGTGTTAAGTGGCTCTGGGTGTGGATACTGTGGTCACTGCCAACCATGTCCCTAACTCCTCCATGCTTGTTCCTTATCAGCAAATTGGGCATAATAAAGGAGTTTATACTGTAGAACTATGAAAATCTAATGACATAATCCACTTGAGGCTCCTAGAACAGCGGCTAGTACATAACTATATTCATAAATAATAATATTATTATGAGGATCACTAAAGATATCTGAGTACCTCCAGTTTAACAACATGCCCAGCATGAGAATCCCCCCCACCCCAATTTAGCATGACAGATGATAGAGAGCTCTGGGACCACCACTCGAGTACTGGGAGGACTTACGAGTTCACAGCCTGCCCTGGCAGCCTAGGACCTCAGAACCAACCTGCTGATGGACAGCTCACATAAGCGCTGAAGCCCATCACCAGCTTCTCTGTGGCTGCCCCCGTCGCCTCTGTTCCTTTGTGTCCCAACAGCAAACAACAATTTTGAATTTCAAATAGCCCCTTACCACATGAAAGAGGAAATCAAAGTATACGCTCTTGCTTTAGCTTAGGTAAAGCCTCCATAGCAATCCCCAAAATATTTCATTTATCCTCATTGGCATCTTGTTTCATTTTAGAGCCAAATCATAACCGAAACATTTGGCCCCCAAAATCTGTGTGCTATGGAAGTAGTTGAAGACGATGCTGGCCCCAGGGCTAAGAGACTGGGAGGGAGCGGATGGGTGTGCAGAAGGCATGTACTGGGGGGCAAGGATGATGGTGTGTGTGTTTATACCTGGAAGGGTGCAGGTGTGTGCGTGTGCACACGTGGTCAGTGGGATGGGTTTGTGTGTGTGTGTGTGTCTGCCTCTATTTTAGGGGATTGTGTGTAAGTATGTGGGTGTGGGGGGATGGTAAGGACCATCTTGGTGCTTTCTGGCCGAGCCACAGTGGTCCCCAACTATACAGCAGTCACAGATGTGGAAGCTCACTTCTTCCCATGTCAGCGTCCACCCCCTTCCCAGGCAGCTGCATTTGTTGGCCAGGATTTGCGGTTTCTCTTACTCAGCCTCCGGAGACTCATTCCAACGGTGAACATGAAGCACAAAACTTGAGAAATCACAGCACACATAGCACCTCCGAGGCACGAGGCAGGAGGGTGGTGAAATCTCCCAGGGAAGCCTGGCTGTGCCGGCCACCCCTCACAGGAAGAGTGGGTCGGCTCCTCTCCCACCCCCCCACCCCAACTCCCAGCCTGAATTTTTAAATCAGCCCTTATAAGCAAACATCTGCCACTTTCTATCTTCTGAATGAAAGGTGACGCTCAGATCGGGGAATCTTTGTGTTTTCATTAGGTGTTTTAGCAAATGCTCCGTGAGGACATTCGGATTCCATGGGCCTGTTTTGTACACACACGTAAGTCGGTGCTAAGAGGATTACTTTTCCTGGTGCCCCGTCCTTCCTAAAGGCCCTGGTCAAAAGAACCCCTTGTTAAACAGTGTTTTCTCTAATTCCTTTGGCTTTTCTTCCTTGCTCCATGTGCAGACTCTAGCGGGGCTCCTAAACCCACCCCCCTCACAGGCCTGGGGATAAAGATGGCCCTGGCCCTCCATTCTCCTCCGGCCCCGGGCTTCCTTAATAAAACTGAAGATGAACATTAGCGCTTGGTTCAGCAGCATCCGAAAGGGAGAGGGCGGCCTCTTCGAACCCATAGAAAAATGTAGCCTTTTTGCCTCTGCGCCAGTGAATGGCTTTTCGAGGGTTTTCTTTAGGGCCCGGGTCTGCTGGTGCAGAAAGCCTCACAGATGTTGACATTTTTTTTCATCCCTGGGTTAAGATGTCTTCCATAAGCTTTTATTCCTCATTTGTTACTTCTTTATTATCCGGGAGCTTTTGCCGCCTCCCTCTTCTCGCCCCTCTGAAGAGAGCAGCGGTAGCCCAGGCTGTCATTATCTCGGGCCTTTTCTCTGGCCTCCAGAGGCAGCCCAGGCCTCGGGCCCCATTGTGGCGAACAGCAGGTAGCTGAGGCAGGCCGGGTCACTCTGCAGACCCCTTTGTGTAGCAGTCCCCCTCCTCCCCACAGCTTGGCTCTTGGCATGTAAAAGGTCAGGGGCAGCCAAGCTTCCATACCTGAGCTTTTGTTTGGGGCTGGAGGCCACTGATTCCAGAAGTAATCTCTTGGAAAGCAGGCTGAGCTTTCCCTTCTCCCTTCTCCCTTCTGACAGTGCCCAGATGTACTCCTCCCCCACCCCTGGGAGCCAGGGGTGAGGGGATGGGAAATTAGTTCAGATCATCTGTACCCTAAAATGCCCTGAGGAAAACTTTCCACCCAAAGGATGTCTGAGACGAATTCAAATGGAAGTCTAGAGACTCTGAGAGGTTGAGAAAAGTGTTTTGTAGAGAGTATACAGTTTCTTCTTGGTTTTGACCATTTGTCCCCTGACCGCAGCCTCTGTTTCCTCATCTGTCAAATAGTGATGATACATCATCCTCTCCTGCCCACTTCATATAGTTTTTCTGGTTATTCTGTGGATCCAATGAGGTGATATAGAAACTCTTTGGTAAACCATAAGATCTAAAAGGTATTTATAAATTTTTCTCACCACTGGCTGTGAACAAAATCCCTTGCACACTGAAAATTAGTTTCTGTGTCAGTTATAGAGCAGAAATACAGATTTAAGGGCTTTGAGACATTTAATTCCAAGCCTTGTCCAAGCTTGATACCCTAAGCATGATAAA